TACCTACTAGGACAACTATAGTTAAAAGACAGACAATAACTGTTGGCACAAATGTATAGAAATTATAAACCATTCTTAACCACTCTGCAGCATGAGAGAGCAGAGCATTTCATAGAAAAGGATTTTTAGGCCTCTGCTTCCAGTAATGGAAGACTGGGTAACTCAGATCAAATCTCCCAGATAACTAGAAAAGCCGTTGATTTTTAAAAGTTGAATTAAATACATTAGAGAATTAACAAAGGGTAAACAATTGTGACCCCACAGTCCAGCGAAGGCAGAAATCAGAGAAGTAAGCCACACCTGGGGCTTCTTTTACAAAATATAGGGACATTAGACAACCCTGGAAAAGATGCTGAGGAGGCTATTCAGCCTTTTTTTAATCAGTTTCATAAGACTAAAGAACAAAATTCGCAGTTCAAGGCCTGTCAAGAGTGAGGGCCCTGGCAGAACCCTCAAGATTAGACTGGGGCTCTGAAAGCTGCATCTTAGGAGTAAGAATGAACCAGAAATAAACTAAATATTTCATTACTGAAGTCAGTTTAGTCATCCAGGTAGACCATAAAATATCAATCCCTGAAAATGAATTAAGGTGATCATGACCTGCTAGTGATTCTTCCAGGCATCTAAGGGCAAAGAAATTCTCTCTGAAGAAATATAGTATTACGAGGTTTTAAGCTATTTCTACAATTTTTCAAATAAAATAAGGCATAAGGGAAAAGACAATATGAATATGATGCAACAGAAAAAGGCAGACAATAAAAACAGACACAGAAAAGTTCTCCATATCAGGATTATCAGAGAAAGAATTTAAGATAACTACTTTAAACTATTTTCAAAGAGATAGTAGATTACATTAAAAATTTTGGCAGAGAATTCAAAACTATAAATAATGTAAGAAATGTGAAAAATAAACAGAAATTCAAGAATCAAAAAATGTTTTAAAGAGGTGAAATCACACAGAGTATGTTTTCTGGCCAAAACACAATTATGCCAGAAAACATTCATAAGAAGATAATCTTCATATGTTTGGAAGTTAAATACATCTTTAAATGGAATAAATGTACCTCTAATCAAAGAGGAAGTCATAGAGGAAATTAGAAAATACTTTGAACTAAATAATATAAAAAGTAATGCTATACAATGCAGTTAAAATTATATTAATATTAGAGGTTAATAGACTTAAATGGATATACTAGAAGAAGAAAGACTAAAAATTAATGAGTTAAGTACCTTTAATAAGATATATGAAATAAAAAAAATAAAATGGGGCCGAACAAAGTTGAAATCTTTATGCCAGTAAATTTGAAAATTATGAAATAAATTCCTGGAAAAATATATTTTACAAAAAACTAACATAAGAAAAAATTTAAAATGTGAATAGCTATGGTATTCTTGCCTGGCAAATCCCATGGATGGAGGAGCCTGGTAGGTTGCAGTCCATGGGGTCACTAAGAGTCAGACACAACTGAGCGACTTCACTTTCACTTTTCACTTTCATGCCTTGGAGAAGGAAATGGCAACCCACTCCAGTGTTCTTGCCTGGAGAATCCCAGGGATGGGGGAGCCTGGTGGGCTGCCGTCTATGGGGTCACACAGAGTCAGACACGACTGAGGAGACTTAGCAGCAGATGGAATGGTTAAGTAGTTGAATTTGTAATTAATATGAAATTTGTAAAGGAAATCCTTCTAACAAAGAAAAATACAGAATCAATTTGCTTTATCAGCAAATTCTACCAATCACTGAAGGCAGAAATAATTCTAATTTTTACACAAATTATTCCTGAGAATGATAACAGTGACCACTCCTTAATTTGGGCTTCCCTGGTGGCTCAGAGGGTAAAGTGTCTGTCTGCAATGTGGGAGACCTGGGTTCGATCCCTGGGTCGGGAAGATCCCCTGGAGAGGGAAATGACAACCCACTCCAGGATTCTTGCCTGGAAAATCCCATGGACAGAGAAGCCTGTAGGCTACAGTCGTTGGGGTCGCAAAGAGTCAGACACGACTGAGTGACTTCACTTTCTTCTTTCACTTTCACTCCTTAATTTGGTTTATAAAGCCATCAGTAAAGGAAAAGTATTGATCAAAAATATAAGAAAAGAAGGAAGTGAACATAATTAATGTCAGGATGGTGGTCACCCTCATACACTATTAGTGGGAATGTAAACTGGTACATTTTGATGCCTTTGAACTGAGGTGTTGGAGAAGACTCTTGAAAGTCCCTTAGACTGCAAGAAGATCAAACCAGTCAAACCTAAAGGAAATCAATCCTGAATACTGAGTACATTGGAAGGACTGACACTGAAGCTGAAACTCCAATACTTTGGCCACCTAATGCGAATAGCCGACTCACTGGAAAAGACTGATGCTGGGAAAGATTGAAGGCAGGAGGAGAAGGGGACAACAGAGGATGAGATGGTTGGATGGCATCACCGACTCAATGGACATGAGTTTGAGCAAGTTCCAGGAGATAGTGAAGGACAAGGAGACCTAGCGTGGTGCAGTCCATGGGGTAACAAACAGTTGGACATGACTGAGCAACTGAACAACAAACTGGTACAGGCACTACGGAGAATAGTATGGAGGTTCCTTAAAAAACTAAAAATAGAGCTATCATATGACCCTGAAATCCACTCCTGGATGTATATGTAGAAAAATATGATCTGAAAGGATACATATTTACCACATATACTCATCACCAATATTCACCACAGTACTGTTCACTATAGCCAAGACATGGAAGCAACTTAAATGTCCATTGACAGAGGAATGGATAAAAAAGATGTGGTACACATATATAATAGAATATCACTCAGCCATTAAAAAGAATAAAATCATTCCATTTGCAGCAACATGGATGGACCTAGAAATCATCATACTGAGTGAAGTAAGTCAGACAGAGGAGAAATATGACATGACATGCTTTATGTGTGGAATCTAGAAAGGAATGATACAGATAAACTTACAAAACAGAGAGATTCACAGACTTAAGAGAATGAACTTGTGGTTGTGGTGGGAGGAATGGAAGGAAGGGATAGTTAGGGTGTTTGGGATGGACATGTACACTCTGTTATATTTGAAATGGATAACCAACAAGGACCTACTATCATAGCACGTGGAACTCTACTCAATGTTATGTGGCAGCCTAGATGAGAGTAAATAAAGACAGAGAGGGAGAATGGATATGTGTAGCTGAGTCCCCTTGCTGTTCACCTAAAACTATCACAACATTGTTGACTGGCTATACCTCAATACCTCACTTCATGGCAAACAGATGGGGAAACAGTGGAAACAGTGACAGACTTAATTTTGGGGGGCTCCAAAATCACTGCAGACGGTGACTGCAGCCATGAAATTAAAAGACACTTGCTCCTTGGAAGAAAAGCTATGACCAACCTAGACAGCATATTAAAAAGCAGAGACATTACTTTGCCAACAAGGGTCCATCTAGTCAAAGCTATGGTTTTTCCAGTGGTCATGTATGAATGTGAGAGTTGGACTATAAAGAAAGCTGAGCACTGAAGAATTGATGCTTTTGAACTGTGGTGTTGGAGAAGATTCTTGAGAGTCCCTTGGACTGCAAGGAGATCCAACCAGTCCATCCTAAAGGAAATCAGTCCTGAATATTCATTGGAAGGACTGATGCTGAAGCTGAAATTCCAGTACTTTGGCCACCTGATGCGAAGAACTGACTCATTTGAAAAGACCCCGATGCTAGGAAAGATTGAAGGCAGGAGGGAAAGGGGATGACAGAGGACAAGATGGTTGCATGGCATCACTGACTCGATGGACATGAGTTTGAGTAAATTACGGGAGCTGGCGATGGACAGGGAGGCCTGGTGTGCTGCAGTCCACAGGGTCACAAAGAGTTGGACACAACTGAGCGACTGAACTGAACTGAATTGAACCTCAATACACAATAAAAAGTTAAAGAAAAAAGAATAGTTGTTGCCTTTAGGCAGGAGAGAAGAAGCTGTAATTGGAAAAGGGTAGGTGGGTTTCTGGGGAATCACAATGTTGTTTCTTGACTTCAGTGGTAGTTCCCACTTATTTGCTTTGTAATAAATCATTAAGATGCACATCCTGTTTTTTTACACTTTGCTTTTTATGTATTACAATTTATACCAAAATTTTTATTTAAATTTATGGAACCAGTTTCACTTAATGAGAGAATGGCATAAATATTGTTGACTTTCATTCTTAGATTTCAGTAGTATTCTTGACTCTGTCTTTATTTACTCTAAACAGATTTACAACTCATATTTCTTGGAGATTATCTTTTAGAGGTTAATCCTTTAATATTTGCTAGCTTCCAAATTCCACTAACACATTATCCTGGAATCTACAATTACATTTTTAAATAAAATCATATTCTTGAATATGCTATACTTCCTAATTCGGAACATGGTTTTTAAAACCCAAAGTTTCACCTTGAGTGATAACACACATAGATTAACCAATAATCTATATGTTTGTAAGGTGTACAAAATAAAGACAAATGAGATGAGTACAGTTTCGTCTGGGACTAAGTAAACATCTATTCAGCAATTTTCCGGAAACTTCCACATCTGTTTCCAACACTGATTATTTTAATCTATTTGTCTTCAGTTTTTGTCTACCTAGCCCTCATTTAAAACCCAGGCATCTGCCTAGATGTAAAAAGCTTTTAAAGTAACAGGAAATCTGATTTAATGATCTGAAATATGAATGATCTTTCATAGGGCCAAGTCATTTTATTTTTTCTCTGTAACTATAGTAAAAGGAACAGCTAAGTGAACATATCTCAAATTTTATTTTGACAGCAATTATAAACCCTATAGTGAAGTACTGCTCCTATCCACCTTTCTAAATACTTTTAAACATCCCCTTTAAGGCAAACATCAAAATATAGCAGACTAAAACAATTCTGCCTCAAATTATGGAGACCCAAAATTTGGTCTATACACTGTTATGAATCTGATTAACTTAAATAAAAGTAGTATTTTCATCATAAAATTTCTTACTTTTGGAACATGAGGATTAAATTCCACAGCTCTATGAATTGCTTCCACAGCATTAATTTCTGCTGTGCTTAACCCTCTTCTGGAGGCTGTTTCTGGAGAGAATCTATAAGAACAGAACAAAATGAAGAAATAAATATTTAAATACATAAATATTTTAATTAATTAATTAAGGTCATCTAGCCCCTGAATCAGAGGTTTCTGGTGATGGCAAAAGTCAAAATCAAATAGCTACTACACTTTGGTTCAACATATACAAGAAGGCAGCATAAGAGATAGAAATCTTTAAGTTAAGGTGAAGAAAGCCTTCATAAGTCCATTAGAGTCACACTTTGGGCAAAGTAATGAAATAAGAAATGCTACACAGGGACATCTAGAAGATCTCATGAAAGTATTACATTCTTAGCAAATATTCATTGAGAGGAAAAAGTCTGTGAACATTTCATTCTAATTCACATTAAGGCATAGTAGTCTAAGGTGAAAGAAAACATTTGCCATTTGGTTGGTTTCTGAGTATCTTACCTGTGGAATAAAGAGAAATTCATTAATGGCAGCCAAAAATACAAGGAAATCACAATAATTCAGAATTATAATCTCAGAACAGATTAACATGAAACCTATTTCCCTTCCATACAACCTTATCATTATTACCATCACAGCTACTATGTACTGAATATACTTTTTACCTAGTAATGCTTTGGGCATTTAACACACATAATCTTTACACAACCATCCTATAGTATTATTCTTATTTTATAGATGAGGAAGAAACTCAAAGTGATTAACTTGACTAAAGTTCCACAGCTGGTATGTTGTAGACTTTGAATTTGCACCGAAGTTTACTTAGCTCTAAAAACCTTGCTGTTTCCACAGTTACAGATAGTAACAATCTTCAAAGCCCTGTAAGCTAAGGGTTATTCAGCAGGAAGTCGGGGGAAAAAAGCATTTTTAAAGTCAGTGAATGAAAAACGTAATGTTGATTTTAGCAGTCTTTCTAAACTTGTAGTTTTCATAACTACTTACTTATCTGAAACAGTCCTTGTCTTCAATAGTGCTGCTGTATAACAGATGGCTGCTGACTTTGGAAGGCTTATATCTATAATAATAATTTTTAATTTAGGTAAGAAACACAAAAATATCTTAAGAATTTTTAGTAAGAATATTCATAGTTCAATTCAACAGATATATTGATAATAAAGCAGTAAAAACACATGGACATGAAATTGGAAGACCTGAGTTTGAAATCTTGATTCTATTATTTACCAACTATATATCCTTGAAGTAGCCACAATTCTCAAAATAGAGAAATGATAATTTTCTAGTAGAGATGTCTGTGAAAGTCCTCACACAATGTTAGAAAGTACTCAACAAATATTTATAATAGGCTGCTTGCTGCTGCTGCTAAGTTGTATCAGTTGTGTCCGACTCTGTGTGACCCCATAGATGGCAGCCCACCAGGCTCCTCTGTCCCTGGGATTCTCCAGGCATGAATACTGGAGTGGGTTGCCATTTCCTTTTCCAATGCATGCATGCATGCTAAGTTGCTTCAGTCGTGTCCAACTCTGTGCGACCCCATGGAGAGCAGCCCACCAGGCTCCCCTGTACACGGGATTCTCCAGGCAAGAATACGGTAGTGGGTTGCCGTTTCCTTCTCCAAATAAGGCTGCTTACAATAATACCATCCAGGGAAAAGGGCACTGTATAGATAGAACTACATAAAACCTCCACCTATTCACAGAGAAAAACTAAGATTAAAAAAAAAATTAATAGTAGTTGAATCTAAGTGATATAACCATGGGTGATTTTCATTTTCTTCTTCCTATGTTTTTGCATTTTCTACATTTTAAGTGATACTCTTTTATAAAATAAAAAGAAATTGAGAACTATAATGAAATTATCTTAAAGAATGCCCCAAATAATGTTATCAGGAGAGTAAGACTACAGGACTTTCTTTCCAGACTCCAGAGTTATACTAGCAAATAGAGAACTAAAGAAGTAAACTTGCTTTTAACTTTTTCAGGACTCTTAGAAGAGTAAAAACTGGGGACTCATAAAAATAACTGAAAACACAGAGGCATATCCAAGTTGCTAGTTTTATTTTTAATGAATAGGTCCTTTCTGATTTTTCATATTCAGTCCTTAAGCTTGTTCATCATACGTATCATAAGCAGGCTATACATCTGATAAGTAACATATGGAAAGAATTTCTCACAAATTTCTCCATGAGCCTATACTACTCTAAAGCACTTCCTAAGAATTCCAGATGTTTAAAAGAAATAAACTTCTCCTTCCAAGTGTAATACATTTCAAACTTTCTAAGTCACGGGGATTCCTAAGCTAATGGGTTGGAGCTTACAACAGGACAGTGTGGATAAGTGACTTATATGTGTTCTGATATAGTGAAAGATATGACAAGAAATATTACGCTAGCTAGGATGTTCTCAGTTTCAGGTTAAAAGCCGATGCCTCACTCAGAATGAGGAGAAAGACTCTGCTTCTTAAAAATGATATCAACTCCATTTGTGATAAACTGGCACTGTTACAGTGCAATAATAAAAACAGCCCATATATAATGACTTTTTACTTTGGGGAGACTAGTACAGAAATCGAATACCTAAATTTAAGTTCAGGCTTGCCACTTAACCTTACCCAATTACTTCGCCTTCTTCAACTCCAGTTTCCTTATTTATTAACTGGAAATAGTAAAAAACTTGTCTTACCATCTCTCAAGATTGTTGTAAGCATCAGATAAGATAATAAATTATATTTTGTAACTAAAAAGCATTGTAAAATGTTGTTCTGAGTTAACTCATATATACTGCTAAGCAACTCTGTTAGCCTTCCCCATCACTCCAAAAGAAATGAAGTGTATAGCACTCCATACTTTTCCAATTACCTCACTTAACATACTATGCTTCAGTATAACTATTATTCATTTGTCTGTATGTTCTACCAAACTGCAAATCCTATAAGAGTTAAGCCCATGTATTTTTGTTTCCCACTGTATTCCAAGTGCCTCACACAGGCACTAAAACAAATGAATATACTTTGACAGAAGGAAAATTTATCCTTGCAGACTTTCCCTATCAAAAGTATTGATAAAGAAGATACTTAGGGGCTTCCCTGGTGGTCGAGTGGTTAAGAATCTGCCTTGCAATTTAAGGGGACATGAGTTCAACCCCTGGCCAGGGAACTAAGATTCCACATGCTAAGAAGCAACTAAACCTGTGCAGCACAACTACTGAGCCCTCACACCACAGCTAGAGAGTCTGTGCACTGCAGCAAAAGACGGGCGTGATGCAACAAAGACCCCTCAGGCAGCCACTAAGACCTGACGGAGCCAAATAAACAAATATTTACAAAAAGAAGAAGATACTTAATAGCAACTTGTGTCCACAGATTCTAAATACTGACTGGAAAGAATGCAAAGAGAAAGTCAAAATACTAGAGTAGGATACCATTTGTGACCACTTTATATTGAAAAAAAAAAAACAAAAAAACAAAACACTTTAACTATGCTATCAACTAAGAGGGGCTTCCCTGGTAGCTCAGCTGGTAAAGAATCAACTAAGAGAATTATCACTCACCATCATATTTTGCTAGAACTGCTTGGACATCTGCATAGGCTTGTAATTCTAAAAGTGATTCTAGGAGATTTTCATGGATGTTCAACATGGTAAGAGGAGGAAATTCTTTCATTAACTGTATATTAAAAGGAAAAAAAGATTAAAATGATAGCAAATGAACTCAATACAGAAGTATAAATTCTTTATTAAAACTTTGGAGACTCAACCTCTAAGAAATTTGTGTATATTAAGTATCTTGTTACAAAACTATCAATTAAAAAAAAAAGATTCTGGGGAATTCCCTAGTGGTCCAGTGGTTGGCGCTTTCTCTGCCAGGGCCTGAGGTTTGATCCCTGGTTGGGGAGCTAAGATGCAACAAGCCATATCGTACCACCAATAAATAAATGTTACAAAATAAAAAGCCACAGAGTGATTTTGCATTAACTTAACCAGCAACTTAAAACATATTTTCAGTTTTGAAAGAATAAAGATAAAGGTTAAGTCATCAAATTTACTTACATCTCTCATTATTTTTACTGCCTCTCTTATTCTTCCCAATTTTCTTGCACACATTGCCAGTCTTCTTTTAATATACACCAGTACATTGGTATCTCTCCCTATTTAAAAAAAACAACAAACGACCCAAAACTATCACTTTTATATTATGACCAGCTATTTCATTAATATATTTATCTATCAATTTTATTAGCCTGGAAGGCAAATAATTTTATACACCCTGGAAGGTTCAATTAAAATTAAATTGTGTCAGAATGGAAGAATATTAATAATTGTTGCATTTGGGTAATGAACAATGAATGTTAATTATATTGCTCTATTTTAATAGCTGTTTGGTGAAGTTTTTTATATTAAAAGCTTAAAATATATATATGTATATATATACATATACGATTACTTTTGATTCTAAGTAATCTGAGTACAGCATATATAAAGTAACTTGTGTACACTAGGCAAGTAGATATTACTATTAAAATAAAAGACATACATTAATAGGTAGAAATAACATGAATCTATTAAATTTCTGTATAAACAATCTACTATTTTAATATTATCTATTAACTGACAAAAGATATTCAAAACAAAATTTATATACTAGTGTAAATTTATGCTCAAGGGCAAAACTACTTCTAGAAAGGGCTAACAAATATTTCTGAACCTAACCCATAACTAAATTTGAGATTATACAAGGACAAATGGCATGAATTTTTTACAGATGTAGTTTCATTAGTTCCAGACTACAAGATTATATATTCCCACAGTTGTGTGTTATAACAACATGCATTAATGAAACATCCTATATACATCAATATTTAGTTTAGGGAGAAAACATTATCCAAATTTTAATTTCCACAAACAAAAGATTTAGAACTTAACTCCCAGCAGATAATGCATTATATAAACATACTTCAATTTATTGCCCATTCTCTGCCAAAATCATGAAATTAAACCCTCTGGCCACGCAATATAGCAGGAAGCAACAACATTACAGATCCTAACATCTTTGGTAAAAGTGTCTCAATCACAACTGGGAGAGTATGCCTAAGAGTGGAAAGAAAGGATGTCAGTTGCTATGGCCCGTATGATCCCAAACATACTGTAGAGAAAAAAACCACCAAAGAAAGAGTCAATACCAAGTGTAAGCCTGGTTTTTGTGCTAAAGGGCCACTCCCTGGCACTACATGAAGATATTTTTACAGCCTGAAGAGCAAACCAAATGATACATATACCTCTACTACTCCTTGGGTAAGGGTGGATAAAAGTAACAGCTGTTTATCATTACTAGAAGGTTCTCTTGAATCTTGAATATTTTTGAGTTGTGTTTCTCCAATGACCAGCCCAATTCTTGCGTGAAATAAATTACTGTTAAGTTTCAGAGCAGCATATCTCTCAATAACCAGAGCAGATCTATTCTCTTCCACATTCTCTAGCTAATACACATTTCTGTCTTGCTGACTTGAACAGATTTATTATATCCCATGAAGAGCAGCTAACTTTTAAGTATTAAGTTTTTTAAAATTTATTGTTGTTCTGTGTTTTACACAAAAAAGAGGCAACTGCAGGAACTAAAAGGCAGGTGAAAATTAGTTCATATTCACTTACTCAGTTGAGCTTCATGCTGAGGACTTTGGTGCTGGCACTGTTGTGACCGCCTATAAATTGTTTCTCCTGCCTTGAGTGCCTGCTTAAATAACCTTTCGGCATCGACAATAGTTGTTGCTTCTTCCTCAGCCAGTAGAACATATGCAGTGGCACAGCTTTAAAGAAAGCAAGCAAGGCGATTTTAAGTAAAATGGTAAAGCAAGTAGTTTCTTTGGGGTCTGTCTATTTACATAATATTTCCCTATCTTTACCTAAACTTTTTGTAATAGGGAAGAACATTTTTTATTCTATTACAAGTTAATCACTAAAGGGATGTTGCCTATAAACTTAAATTATACATAATAATCCAACTCTCAGAACTCTGCCTCCCAGGTAATGAGCATTATGCTAAAAGACTTTTACTTAGCTCATAGGAAACATCTTGGCCAGACCCACCTGGGAGGAAGAAATTAACACACTCCTCCAGAGGTGGAAGGGAACCTTGTTTGACTTCACTTCTTCCCCTTTTAGTATAAAAGAAGACTGAATTATAACTTAGGCAAGAGAGTTCTTTGTAAGCATAAATGCACCATCTTCTTGATTTTCTGGCTTTCAGAATAAAGCTGTTATTCCTTGCCCCAACAACTCATTGCTCAATTATTGGCCTGTCATATGGCAAGCACTCACTACAAGGTCGAACTTGGTAACAAATTTTGGTTATTCATAAACACTTTCTATTTTTTGTTTTTGTTCTATTACTGTTGTTATACCCCTCTTGTGAAGGGGTATCAAATTGTGTTTTTCATTTTTATTTCTCTTATGATGAGTGACATTGAGCACCTTTTTATGTACTTTTTGGTCATTTATATATCTTCCTTGAAAAAATGTCTATTCAAATCCTTTGCCCATTTTTAATTGGGTTGTCTTTGTTACTGAGTTATAAGAGTTCTTTCTATGTTCTGAATACTAAGCCCTTATCAAATATGACCTGCAAATATTTTCTCTCAACCTGTGGGCTGCATTTTCACTTTTTTGACAATATCCTTTGATTGCACAAAAACTTTTAATTTTGATGAAATCTAATTTATCTAACCATCCCCAAGAAAAAGAAATGCAAAGGCAAAACAGCTGTCTGAGGAAGCCTTACAATTAGCTGAGAAAAGAAGAGAAGTGAAAGACAAAGGAGAAAAGGAAAGATATACCCATTTGAATGCAGAGTTCCAAATAATATAGCAAGGAGAGATAAGAAAGCCTTCCTCAGTGATCAATGCAAAGAAATAGAGGAAAACAATAGAATGGGAAAGACTAGAGATCTCTTCAAGAAAATTAGAGATATTAAGGGAACATTTCATGCAAAGATGGGCAAAATAAAGGACATAAATGTATGGACCTAACAGAAGCAGAAGATATTAAGAAGAGGTGGCAAGAATACACAGAACTATACAAAAAAGATCTTCACAACCCAGATAACCATGATGGTGTGATCACTCACCTAGAGCCAGACATCCTGGAATGTGAAGTCAAGTGGGCCTTAGGAAGCATCACTGTGAATAAAGCAAGTGGAGGTGATGGAATTCCAGTTGAGCTCTTTCAAATCCTAAAAGATGATTCTGTGAAAGTGCTGCACTCAATATGCCAGCAAATTTGGAAAACTCAGCAGTGGCCACAGGACTGGAAAAGGTCAGTTTTCATTCCAATCCAAAAGAAAGGCAATGCCAAAGAATGTGCAAACTACCACACAATTGCACTCAACTCACATGCTAGCAAAGTACTGCTCAAACTTCTCCAAGTCAGGCTTCAATAGTACGTGAACCATGAGCTACCAGATGTTCAAGCTGGATTTAGAAAAGGCAGAGGAACCAGAGATCAAATTGCCACCTGCTGGAAAAAGCAAGAGAATTCCAGAAAAACATCTATTTCTGCTTTATTGATTTGCCAAAGCCTTTGACTGTGTAGATCACAACAAACTGGAAAATCCTTCTAGAGATGGAAATATCAGACCATCTGACCTGCCTCCTGAGAAGTCTTAGGCAGGCAAGAAGCAACAGTTAGAACTGGACATGGAACAACAGACTGGTTCCAAATAGGAAAAGGAGTACGCCAAGGCTGTATATTGTCACCCTGCTTATTTAACTTATATGCAGAGTACATCATGCAAAATGCCAGGTTAGATGAAGCACAAGCTGGAATCAAGATTGCCGGGAGAAATATCAATAACCAGATACACAGATGACACCACCCTTATGACAGAAAGTGAAGAGGAACTGAAGAGCCTCCTGATGAAAGTGAAAGACGAGAGTGAAAAAGCCGTCTTAAAACAACATTCAAAAAACTAAGATCATGACATCTGGTCCCATCACTTCATGGCAAATAGACAGGGAAACAATGGAAACAGTGAGAGACTTTATTTTCTTGGGCTCCAAAATCACTGCAAATGGTGACTGCAGCCATGAAATTAAAAGACGCTTGCTCTTTGGAAGAAAAGCTATGCTCAACCTGCTGCTGCCACTGCTGCTAAGTCGCTTCAGTCGTGTCTGACACTGTGCGATCCCATAGACGGCAGCCCACCAGGCTCCTCTGTCCCTGGGATTCTCCAGGCAAGAATACTGGAGTGGGCTGCCATTTCCTTCTCCAATGCTCAACCTAGACAGCATATTAAAAAGCAGAGACAGTACTTTACCAACAAAGGTCCATCTAGTCAAAGCTATGTTTTTCCAGTAGTCACGTATGGATGTGACAGTTGGACTATAATGAAAGCTGAGTGCTGAAGAATTGATGCTTTTGAACTGTGGTGTTGGAGAAGACTCTTCAGAGTCCCTTGGACTGCAAGGAGATCCAACTAGTCCATCCTAAAGGAAATCAGTCCTGAATATTCATTGGAAGGACTGATGCTGAAGCTGAAATTCCAATACTTTGGCCACCTGATGCGAAGAACTGACTCCTTGGAAAAGACCTTGATCCTGGGAAAGATAGAAGGCAGGAGGAGAAGGGGATGACAGAGGATGAGATGGTTGGATTGTATCACCAACTCAATGGACATGAGTTTGAGCAAGCTCTGGGAGCTGGTGATGGACGGGAAGCTTGGCGTGCTGCAGTCCATGGGGTCGCAAAGAGTCTGACATGACTGAGAGACTGAACTGAATTTTCCTTTTGTGGCTTGTGCTTCTGCTGTCATGTCTAAGAAACCACTGCCAAATTGATAGTGATGAACATTCTAAAAGTTTTATAGTTTTATCTTTTAAGTTTAGCTCTTTGTTTACCAATTAATTAATTGTATACAGTGTGAGGCAAGGGTCTAACTTCATACGTTTGTTATGTGGTTATCAAGCTGTTACTGTTTGTTGAAAACTATTCTTTCCCCCATTGAATGGTCTTGGAACCTTTTCAAAAATCAATTGACCATTGGGACTTCCCTGGTGGACCAGTGATTGAGCATCTCCCTTGCAGTTCAGGGGATGCAGGTTCAATCCCTGGTCAGGGAACTTGAACCCCACATATTGCAGAGTCACTGAGCCTGCCTGCTGCAACAAAAGATCCTGCATGCTGCAACAAAGACCTTGCATGCCACAACTAAGACCTGAGGCAGCCAAATAAATAAATTTTTTTCTTTTAAAAAAAGAGAGAACACACATTGGATTTTTTAAACAAAATCAATTGACCATAGATGTATGAGTTTATTTCTGAGCTCTCAGTTTGATTCCATTAATCTAGAAGACTATCCTTATGATTTAGTTATTGTAACTTCATAGTAAGTTTTGAAATCAGGAAATGAGTCCTCCAACTTTGTTCTTTTTCAAGATTGTTTCATGTTTCATCTACTTGAAGTCTCTTGTAATTCCATATTTTTAAGATCATATTTTAAGATATTTTGTCCATTTCTGCAAAACCAGCAATTGAAATTTTGATAGAGATTGCAATGAATTCGTCCATCAACTTGACAAATACTAGCATCTTAACAACAATAAGTGTTCCAACCCATAAACATGAGATGTCTTTTCATTTATTTAGGTCTTCTTTAACCTCTTTTGATAATACTTTGTAGTTTTCAGTGTACAAGTCTTACACTTCCTTGGTTAAATTTATTCTTAAATGCTTTAATATTTTTGATGCTACTATAAATGGAACTGTTTTCTTAATTCCTCTTCAGATTGTTCATTGCTATTGTATAAAAATACAACTGATTTTATGTTGATTTTGTTTCCTGCAACTTTTTTGAAGTCTTTTAGTAGCTCCAATAGTTCTATGGTGGATTTTTTTTTTTAATAAAAAGTTTTATTGGAGAAAAATAGAATTACCACGTACACAGGGAAAAGAGCACAAAAATTCAACTGATACAGAACTAAAAGTCACAACTACCCAATGTTGTTTGCGATTACTTTTCAATTTCTTAAATGGCTTCCCTCAATATTTTAAGTAGTCTTGCCAATTTTTTTCAGCTGAAATAGCATCAAGTTTTCAAAAAATTAAGAGCCTCAGTGAAAGGACCAGCTTTTAAGATAACAAAGGTGACATCAAGAGTCTCCTAATAGGACCAATTCTACCGAAAAATTCCTAAAGCACATAACTACTGAGTCTGGTAGAACAGTAGCTCAGAGACCATCAGGGATTAGTTAGAACACTGACTCAGACGGTCCAGTAAGCAGAGAGGGCAAACAAAAAAGCTGCATTTCCCTGTCAGATGAGTTCACCTAAGAAAACCAAGGAGGTGCTAAGAAAATACAGGCAATGGCTGCTCAAAATAATTAAGAAGGCATTCTAAATACCACATATTATTAGACAACAGTGTGTAAAGTGATGCAATTAGAAAACAGGCAACTTAAAAAAAATATGGTCACAGGTCTTTGAGAACTCAAGAAAACAATCAATAGCAAACACAAAAGCTGAAAGTCTCAGCTGAGGATTAAAAGTGAAAGTGAAGTCACTCAGTCATATCCAACTCTTTGCGACCCCGTGGACTGTAGCCCACCAGGCTCCTCCGTCCATGGGATACTCCAGGCAAGAATACTGGAGTGGGTTGCCATTTCCTTCTCCTATGGTGAATTTTTTAAAATTTTCTACATATAAGATCATGTCCTCTTTGAACAGAAATACAAAAGCCATTTTCCCCCTTATTACCTAAATGCATTGGTTAGCACTTCCAGTACAATGTTAAATCAAAGTGGCAAGAGCAGACATG